ATTTAGGTTTGAAATATGGTATTTTTGCAATCAGCTCCCAAGGTGTCTTTTCATAAAGTGCGGTCCATCCTCTTTTTTTTAAGGGAGGTTTGGGGGGCCACGCCAACTCCCCCTCCGCTCTCTACCCCAAAATCGTTGTACAAATAACTTAACATTTCCCCCGGGGCTTTTGTTTAATTTTGTTTGAGCTTCCTGTGCACATTAATTTATCTTTTATTTTCTTGATCTTTCATAAAAATGCTGCAATGCTTTATAATAATAATAATAATAATATCCCAACGGTTTTTACCCTCCATTCCCGCCCATCCGCACGAGGGGCGCAGTCCGCATGACGTACGGAACCAATATTTTAAATTTTTTGTGCCGAGTCACGATAGGCAGGAGTTTGTTAAGTGTCGAGATCTAAAACTGTTCAGCTACAGAACTAAATTCATCAGCTGATTTTATGTATTTATGTCAATAATTCACTTATTGAGAGAGTATCGCTTTCTTAATGCTGAAAAGCGGATCTGATATATCAAACGTGCTGGAATGAGAGTTAAAATCCTTGCATAAGCAACGGAGTGGGTCGTGCAATTCAAAATTGGTTTTACAAGCTTTCAGAAATATGGGACAAAACTGTCTTGATACGCGTGAGGGAACATTAAAGCTTACATCAGCCAGAAGAGACGGACTTGAAATTGAGCCTGTCAGTAATTTAACCATAAAAATTATACCAAGCATTTCCCTGCGACTGGCAAGTGTAGGAAGGTTAATAAGTTTTAAGCGACTCGTATAACGTGGAAGACTATATTGAGAATCCCATCGGAAATTTCTTAAAGCAAAAAGTAGGAATTGTTTTTGAATTGATTCTATTTTGTCTGAGTAAATTTGATACCTTGGATTCCAAACCACCGAGCCGTATTCCAGAATCGGCCTAACTAAGGGTTTTAGTGATATAAGGGTCACTAAATTCTTTTGACCATCGTTTCACAAATGCAAGTACACCTTTAGCCTTGTTGACTGTCACATTAATGTGAAGATTAAAATTAAGCTTAGGATCCATTGTGATACCAAGGTCCACAAAATTGTTTACCTGTTCCAAGTTATGGTTACCTATTATATAAGAAACTGGCAGAACAGCTCTTCGCGAGAAGCACATTACTTTACATTTCTTAAGATTTAGAGGCATAAGATTTACTTTACACCAGTAAGCCATGCTGTTTAAGTCCGATTGTAGCAAAGACCTTTCTTCAATTGAAACGTACGATTTATAAAGTTTTACATCATCTGCATACATTAAAATTTTGGAGAATTTTATATCTGTAGAAATAGCGTTTATAAAAAGCAAGAACAGAATCGGGCCTAGGTGGCTACGCTGAGGGACTCCTGAAGTAACATCAATGACGTCAGAGATAGTATTTTTAAACAATACCCTTTGTGGTCTATCATAGAGGTATGAAGAGATCCAACGTAGAAAATTAGGTGGAAGACCATATTTGTTAACTATGTATTTCATTACTTTGCAAACAGGTCTGGCGCGACTTAAAAAGCCGTACAAGCGTACGTGTACGTGACCGGAAGAGGCAGCAGGCTCTAACAGGCAACAGGCCCATCGACCAGCCGCCTTTAACGGAGATGGAGAGGCGGGTAATTGATCTGATTGGGATCAACTACATCGAGGGTCACGAAGCGGTTCCTGACAATGTGCCATTGGAAGAGGTGAGCTTATAGTTATACAATTATTTCTATTATTATTTAATACTTTTTTAATTTACTTTTAAACTATTAGGAGCTTCAATTGGTCATGGAGGATGGGGAGGATATTGTCTTCCATGCGGTGACGCCGGCGTCCGTGTTTGGAGCCGACAGCGAGGTGCAGGTCAGCACACCTAAAATTCCTGCGCAAACACCGCGTAGGGCTTTGAAGAGGAAGCGGGCGGAGGAAGAGAGCGATGTCCAGAAAAAATTTCTGGAAGTCGCTGAGAAGCAAGCAGATGCCTTGAAGGTGAGAAATCAAGTTTACTGAAATAAAAAATAAAAATTCCAACTTATGGCATTTGACCATAATTTCATATGTAAAACTTTTCGCTGAACCCGAATATTAAGGCAAAATAATACAAGAATGTAAACAGATTTTACTTATAGCCAATTTTTTTTTTTTGAGATCTGAAAAAAGTTCTTATGCGTTTTTGCAATCTGAAATGTCTTTAAATTTAGTAAAGTCTATAAATTTGCGATTGTCTATAATATTACCTAAATCTAAAAGAGATTGCAGATTGACTATATCCAAAAAAAAATGCAATAACTTGAGAGAACTTTTTTCAGATCCCAAAAAACCTAAATTTGGCTATATTTCAAAAATTGTTATACATTCTTATATTATTTTGCCTTAATATTTGGGTTCAGCGTAAAGTCTTACATATGAAACTATGGTCAAATGCCACATGTCGGATTTGTTGTCGACTTGTATTAGGTACTAGGCCCTATCGCGAATTTAACGTGAACAAATATTCCCAAAAATTATAAAGCAGAACAAAAACAATTTTTCCCAATTTGTTTTTGTTTTGCATGTTAAATAATGGGCACAATTTATTCACATGAAATCGGCGATAGGGCTGATTATATTTTAAAAACATCGTGTTAATATATACTTTTTATCAATAGATGCTGGCTGAAAACTCTTCCAGACAAACGGATGTTTTGAAGGTGAGAAGTAATTATTATTAGATATGTTTTACATAAATCGTATTAATATATACTTTTTGTCAATAGATGCTGGCTGAAAATACCGCAAGGCAGACGGAGGCGACGCTTGCAATGGCGCAGTCTATGACCGTCCTTAGCGAAGGGATGAAAGCCTGTGCCACATTTTATAAAATAACTTCAAGTACGCAGTTTTATAGCGCATTAAATTAAAAATCAAAGCGATTTCGTAGCAACCTCATTTTTACACATTGTTATACTAAAATTTAAGTGTTGATTAAAAATCGTTGAACTTTCCTTAATTTTGTATAAACCTTGAAACTTTGCTTTGTATGATTTTGTTTTAAGGATGATCCATATTTTTATAATAAAAAAATAAACGAATTTTATCTTCCAAAATATTGCGAATATTTAAAAAATGAATGGTGTATGCAGACTTTTGCTGTTAAGTTTACATATCATACAAGAGTTATTTTATAGTTTTTCTTTTAATTTTCAAAACGAATTACTTATTTTTTCCTTTTATGTTTTAAATTATTTATTTTGTACCTTGTTTTGTACCTGACTGGAATATGTACCTTTAGTTTAAAAAATATATATTTTATGAAATAAATTGGAAATGTTTTTGTTATGAATATGACATAGTTGTTATGAAAATTAAATTTATTTACCTTAATTACACATTCGCCTTTTAAATTAAAATTTTGAACATCTCGTTGCATTTAATACTTTTTTCTATTCATTTATTTTCTAAAAGCCGAACTTAAGTGAAATACTATAAACTACACATAAAAACTATTATTCAATTTAAACTGTTATTTAATTTAAACTAGTTTTCAACTTAAAAATAAATTCTTCTAAAAAGCACTTCGAAGCTATTATATTTTTTATCAAAGAACAGTAGGTGGTCTATCAATAACGACCGATGTTTTTGTGTGTTTTGCAATAACCAATTCCATAATTAATATACCAAAAATACATACACTATTTTGTCTTCGGTCGTTATTGATAGACCACCGACTGTTCTTTGATAAAAAATAAAATAGCTTCGAAGTGCTTTTTAGACTAGGAAGTTATATAAAATTTCTAATGTTTTCAAATATATTTAAATTTTTGCTTTATACGGTTATAGTGTATACAGTCACTCACAGAAGTATTCGTATTATAGTTTTTCATAATATTCAAAATATTTTCAATATTGAACTATTTTTGCAAATTTGTATTCAAAATATACCTCATTCTATAAAAAAAAAAACCTTAGGAATCAATCTTGTTAACTTTGTACAATGTTCACAAAAATTTATCAAACATAAAAAAACGTTCATCAAAATTTCAAACTCTTTATTCAGAATCTTTAGAAAATTTTAGAGTATGTAGTTTTGTAGCCCATTCAATTTCAGTAGGGTAAAATTCAAGTTTGATGTCGCTACAAAATACCGTTAATATTTGAGATTTTTTTTTTCGAGGGTGTTCAGCATTTTCTTCCATGTAAAAATTGATTTTTTTTCATTCGTTATATGGAAGAAAATGCTGAACACCCTCGAAAAAAAAAATCTCAAATATTAACGGTATTTTGCTACAAAACTACATACTCGAAAATTTTCTAAAGATTCTGAATAAAGAGTTTGAAATTTTGATGAACGTTTTTTTAAGTTTGATAAATTTCTGTGAACATTGTACAAAGTTAACAAGATTGATTCCTAAGGGTTTTTTTTATAGAATGAGGTATATTTTGAATACAAATTTGCAAAAATAGTTCAATATTCAAAATATTTTCAATATTGTGAAAAACGATAATACGAAAACTTCTGTGAGTGATTGTAAGTAAATTTAAAAGAAAAAACTTTAAGTATTTAGAAGACAAAACTAGTGCGAAGATAAACATGTAAATTTAAAATAAAATGGGTATTCATCTAAAAGCATAAATGCCTCGTAACTTGTAAATAAACTGGTTTACGATACAAAATTATTTAAGTTTACGTGGTTACGAGGCGTTTATAATTTTAGATGAAATGCCCCAAAAAAAAAGTATTTAGGAGAAAAAATTAGTAATTAATCGGTCTTGGACACGTTTTCCCATGGAAGATACCGAATTTGAATTATAGTCGGTACCGTCTGCATGTACATGTGTTTCTACTTCTAATATTATATTATTATCGAGTTCCTTTATTTGCTCGCGCAAACGGATATTATGCAAGGTTGAGCACGCATTTACAACCTTACCAGTAAAACCAGGATCGTAGAGTAACACTCGTTGTTGTGATAAACATCGCCAAGTTCCTTTAAGCACTCCAAATAGTCTCTCTACTGGATTTCGAGCTTTGCATAGCGCCTCGTTGTACCGAAACTTAGGAGTACCCTCAGGTTGGTTCGGTAAAGGCGTCATGAGCCATGGCTCTAAGGGGTATCCAGAATCGCCTGAAAGGAACTTAATTTTAAATTATGTACATTTTAAAGTAAATTAAAAAGAATACCAATCAAAAGAATGTTGCGGTTTCCATTATCAAAAGCTCTCTGCATGACTCGCCGCACTGGACAGGAACTCCAAATGTAAGAGTCATGTCGTGCTCCCGGAAACCTAGCATTGACGTTGAGTATTTTTAAATTAGGGTCACATATCTATAAAAGCATAACAAATATTTATCGCTCGACTTTTATTTAAAATACTTAGCTCACCATTTGAACATTTATCGAGTGATAGCCATGATGGTTCACGTATGCTTCCTCATGAGTTTTAGGACCCAAAATAGAAACATGCGTGCAGTCTACCGCTCCAATAGTTCCTCCAACGAAAGGCGCAGGTGCTGAAGCAAACACTTACTTGGCAGCTTGACGGTCCACCTGCGTCATAGGGAACTTAACCTCCTCAAAAAATAGTCCACTGTTTATGGCATCAGTTACGCGATGTATACAACGGCTTATAGATGATTGGCTCATTGATATGCCCCACTGTTCCCCTACAGGCCGTTGGTAGCATCCTGTGGCATAGAAGCGTAGTGTACACAAAACCTTCAAAGATAAACGATTATTTGGGAAATGTTTAGTTATTTGTACAATGATTTTGTGGTGCGGAGCGGAGGGGGAGAGGGTGTGACACCTAAAACCATACCCGTTAGAAAGAGCACAGTCAAAACTCCCCTCTCTGACCTCTCTACAGACTACCGGGGGCCCATTTGAAAATGGGTTCACCCCATTAGCATTTCAACATGGAAGCCACATCGAAACTTACAAAAAAGTCCATAATTAAAACCGATTTTATTAATAAACTAGTGCTAGGAAATTTGAAATCTTTGTTTTAAATTAAAGTTTAATCCTTGGAATACACGCGTATGTTAAACTTTTTAGATTCGAGTCACGCTTTTGGGCATCATTGTACAGATAACTAAACCGTACCCAGGAAATTATTGTATACATACTACATATCCAAAATTGCATGCTCTCATTATTTAAAGATTTACCTGTTTTTCCGCCGATATTGAGGTAATCCTTTTACCTTTCAATTGGATTTCCAGCCGCTGGATGAGCTCCATTGCAGTCTCTGGGCCCACACGATATATCTTCCGGAACTCGGAAGGCGCCAGCTCAAATGGATCGTGAATGTCCCCGAGCAAACGCCGATCCACTGTGGGGGTATTTCTGACTCCATACTTTCGGTGTAAACTATACGCCACATATTCAAACGCCATTTCTTTTATATAAATTCACTTGGATATACTTGCGCGCAAATTCGTTTGGTTAACACAAACTTAACAACACCAAATGAGATGTCGATAACTTAACCATAAACGAATCGTTAACGAAACAGCTGATTTTCACTTATCGAATATCGATAAGAAAGTACTTATTGAATAGCAAAATCTTTAAAATTATCGTTTAGCTAAATTAGCCACTGCGAATGTCGTTAAAAAGGTTACCGAATCGCACTACAGTACAGATATATCAATAAACACGTACGAAAGAAAAGGAACACACACGTTTATAAATAAACATGTACACAACACATATACAAAAACGGCACTCAAGTACACAATGCATTGACAAAAACAGTACTAGAGTGTCTCGCTCTGATTTCGGAATGCTTACATATTGAGAAGTTAGCTTACTGCCAATATAGAAGTATTACATATATGCTAATTTTGCATTCTCACTTAATGAATTCCTTTTAATTAATATTTTCTTAAGCGCGGTAAATTTATTATTTTCGGATGGATTTTGAATAAAATGGTTACTATAACTTCTTGCGGAAGTGCAGTAATAGTATGCTCATATTTCGTTGTTTCCTGTGTAATATTTTTTGTACTAAACTGCCTTTCCGCATGGATAAACCAAGCTTCCGGGCAACTTGTCCAAAATTGTGGTAATTTGACTGATGTAGCACAAATCTCATTACTATTCCGATCGACATACAGATTTGTTAACTGCTCGTTAAACGAACTATTTGGCAAATCAATAAGCGTTTAATTTAAATTATGTGTATTACATGTAGGTGTATGTGTATCATGTTGTGGTGAATGAAACATTTTGACTATTTAAACTTTAAGAAATAGACCTCAAGAAGGGAAGTTTACAATTATTTCAAAAAATTGTAGTATTCAATAAATTATAATAAAATGTATTTATTTATTTTTAACAAAAATAAGTACTAAATTTATACTAATCTAAGAGAAAATATGAACAATACAGCTCACCAATATTTTTGGCACCTTAGTTGAGTCCTTAAACTTGCTCAGTTGCTGCTCGTACTTAATGACAGTCGCTAATGTTGCCGCTGCTCAGGCAGTTGTTTTTGTTGCCGTTACTGTGGCGGTTGTGGTTGCACTGCTGCTTTTGTGACAGTCACTGTTGTTGCTTTTGCTGTTAAAATCGTTGCTGTTATTGCCACTACATGACGGTTGTTGCTGAAACTGTTGCTACTGTGGCAGCCGTTGATGTGGCTGTTGCTAGTGCTAAATACCAGTCTTGCAACGCTCTGGCGATAAAAAAAAAAACGGTGAATACATGGTGCCGTAAAGAAAGAATAAACAGCGCTTAGCTGATAATGGCCTAGTGAAAGATTTTGCGATCACTGAGTTGCAGAATAAGCGGACAGTGCGTTGCGTTAGAGGCTGTAAATTCGGAGGCGATGAAGCACTAGCGCTTAGCCGGGTGCGGTTGTGTTGGTTGCACGATGTTATCCAAAATTTTGCCGTGTGCTCTTCTAATGAAACTTATGGTGGATTCAGTTGAGACAGCATGAAATAAAGTTTAAGGAGTCCTGATGCTGATCGTGGTTACTACGTATGACGCCAATATCGCTATTACCATTTGCAGGATCGCCAATTGTGGAGCTTTCAAAAACTTACATATATTTTTTTGGTAAAGTTAAGATCCAATTAAATTTTTAATATTTAACACAAATACATTTTCAACTATACAGCAAGATGAAAAAATTTGAAGTGAAGGAAAATTTTCATTTTGATTTCCATTTTACAAAAATAACTTAAATCAAAAATTTTCAAAATTAACAAAGTAAAAAATTAAGCAATTGTAATAAAAAGTATGAACCCTACATCCATAAAATAATTAATGTGATTTTATGTTATTATATGTTAAGGTATGTTTAAAAACATGTTTTGGTATACACGTTTGTTAATTATATTTTCTTGTAAAAATAAATAGACTCCCTGAGGAAGACACAATAATGTGTTGAAATGCGTAGGAGGCAGAAAAGAAAAACCAACGTTTTTGCTTTAAAATCAACGGCCGAAAAGCTCCAAATATACAACTCGTAAACTCAATATTGTTGTTGTTTTCCAATTTTTATCCAACGCACATAGAAACATTCTGTCATTCTTAATTTTGTCATCAGATGGCAAATTTTTTCGGTTTGAAAGAAATAAAATTATTTTCTAAGCTTTAATATGTATGTATGTGCATATCGTCGATGTTTTTGCAAAACCGCCTATCGACCAATTGCAAAACCGCCTAAATCGCCGTTGTGGCCAAAATGAGTTTTGGTAACCCTGAACTCCAGGCATCGAGATTTATGCATAAAAATCGTTAAATCGTTATTAAAACAACAGATTTGTAAAATAATAGCTAAAGAAAATACCGCCTATTAAGGCAATGCCTTCAAAGAATAAACCATTTTTACGCTCCCCTTTAAAATTTAAGTGCCGTAAGAAAGCCGGTTTTGGCGATGGGCGGTTTTGCAAAACCATCGACGATATGTATTTTTCAGTCGGTTTCATTCTTCACACTTCAAAATTTTTAAATGATAAATTTGAAACAAGGCTTCCGAGCTGTCAGAATCTTCTGGTTCTGAGCTTTCTACCAGGAAACGTCGTCCCAAAACGCGATACGTATGTATGTTCTAAAAAACTAAATTAATGTAAAATATTTTTTTAAATATACATATGTACATAAAATTTTAATTTTTAAATAATTACCGGCAGAGATCGAAACCATATTAAAATAAATTATTGCTCTCAATAATGTGAAACCTATTAGATTGCCAAAGTTTTCCATCAAAGAAAACATACAAAAAATTGGGAAAATAGCGTTTTGAAACCGTATCACACAGCGATCGAAACATGCTGCTAAATACTCGAATAAATATTTTTTCCTAAAACACGTTTTTGGCAATTAAAACCGCCAGTAACACCCTACTATGTTTTACAAAACATTGAATTGATATGTTACTGCAGTATTACAAAAGCTTTGCTTTCTTTGCGAAAAAAATTTAAATAACAGTATATTGCTTTACCTAACCTAATTATTTTTTGAGTTCTGGAGTAATTATTGAGATGGCATTTCACTTCTGGTTCCTCTGAGGTATCCTTTACCCGTAGCAAGAATGAAAATTTATGTTTTTACAAACTTGTTTTTGACCACCTGCGCTTATGTGTTTTTACAATTCTGGACCACTGTACGTCCTCCAAGGTTTAGATAAAAATTACGTAAATACATTTAAACTGCATTATCGAATACTTATCAGTAGTCCTGAAATCTCCTTAAAAAAATTATAGCTCTCAATATTGTTAAAACATTATTCTTCATGTGTGTGAAGTACTATAGTGGTCACGTAAATTACAATTTGCGAATGGGGAGGCAAATTAATGTAAACAAAACCTACGTCCATATACTTTAAATAAGTCCTTTTTTACCCTCAATGCACAGATTTTTTTGTGCAAAACTATGTAAAAAAGGTGCACTCCATCAAAATTCACGATAAATATTAAATGCAGACCGAAGCAAGCACCTCAATATTCTTTGAGAATTAAAATTCATGAGTAACATGTGGTAATCTGTACAAAACCATCAAACTACCATATATCGTAATACCACGTAAGCTTCTATAATATAAGAACAAAAAATTAAAGGCGAAATATACTGCTCATAACAACCTTTTTCTTAGGGTGCTGGAAAAATATTAATTGAAATGTCATTTAAATCTGGTACATGTAGGGTATCCCTTACATGTATCATGTGTCAAAATGAATTCTTTCGCATGTTCGATTTTTGGCCTCGTGCGCGAGTTTACAAGAATCCGGACCATTGTGCGGCGTTGTCAAACTGATCAGCCATTTGAATTTTTTAAATGTGATTTCAGATACGTAATGAGAGACCTTAAGAACACTTGATTTTAAAGTTTTAAGCGAATCTAATCGATTTAAATTTTTTTCGCCTTATTGGTTCCGCCATTTTGAATTTTTGCAACCTGACCTAATATTCGTAATAAGTGGCCCCAAGAACCCCAGAGGAAAACTTTTCAAGCGAATCGGATAGCTTTTAATTTTTTGGCTGCCATATTGAGGTCGCCATTATGAATTTTTAAAATCATGCTCTAGGTTCGTAATCACAACCAAAAACATAAGAACCTGCTGTTTCTTTGTCTTTTTTAGAGATGGGTTCTCCAGTGGCACAAAAGTTGTAAAGCAAAATTTACGGTTAGTTTAGACGCCATATTTGGGACGCCATGTTGCATTTTTGAAAAGGCCACACTGTTTTCAATGGGGAGCGTCTATGTTATCTTTTTAAGACCTTAGTCTTGTAATCCGTCTTATGGAATTTTGGCCATCGTACTCTACTGGTTGACGTTATATGGAAATGAATTTTACGCCCCTTCCCTTGCATCGCTATGCTTGACACGTTCCCGGCCGTCGCACACTGGGGCCGCCCCATATAAGCGTGTGCTCAAAATTCTCAAACCATTTCTTTCCATTAGATTCGTTTGAACCACTTTTTAAGAGTAAATTTTTGACGTCTTAACCAATTATTGATCAAGCATTAACCCACTGATGACCCAGTTTTTTGTAATGTCTTATGTTAAGATAATTAGATTTTATTAATATGCAAATTATGAATAATTTAACTCAATTACGACTTTGACTTAACGCATTGATGCCCATATTTTAACCAATTAGTGGCCATATTTTTTATAGAGTCTTTCCCCAGCTAATGTTATTAAAAATAAGTACGTTTAGGTTACAATATAATCAGGAAGAACAGGTCATTTCGATTCGAGGATAGCTTTATCAATGAATTCGCAATACTTAGAACTAAGTTAAATGCCCTAACCT